ACCACGGGTTCCCAACCTATGGGTCGCGACCCAGAAGGGGGTCGCGACGGGCTTTCTGTGGGGTCGCCAACTTATACAGTTAACTAAAAAAAATGTTCACTATAATGCAATTTTTATTTTTAATGGTGTCTTGAAGTTTGAATAATTTGATAAACAGTCGATCCCCCTATAACACGGGTTCCTATAGTTCGGATTCCTATATAACGGCGAAAAACTTGCGACGGTGTCCGTACAAACATGGTAAAAAAAATTCCTATAATTCAGTAAAACGTCATCGGGCAGCCAAACTACTTTCCGCCGTCCAGCGCCACGCTACGGAGAGTTTAGGCGGGTAAATTGAGTTTACTATCGTCTGTACAGTATTATATAAAAATTATATATAAATTAGGTACTGTATATATAATTATAAATTAACTTAATTCATTGTAACTTTATTATAATTATATATATACTTTCCGCCGTCCAGCGCCACGCTACAGAGAGTTTAGGCGAGTAAGTTGAGGTTACTATCGTCTGTACAGTATGTAAATTAGGTACCGTAAGTCTAATACAGCACTAATTTTATACATTTCTTGTGAAAGAAACATTTCTTATTTAATGGCCATAAAAATTATTTATATTAATGATGTCTCCAAAGTTCAACGAAGTTTTCGCAGAAAAATAATTTATCAGAAAACGCGGCCGCCATTTAGTGCGCTGCTCCGCGACGAAAACAAGCTTAAGCAATGGCGACGTCGAACGGTGCACACTCGGTAAGTAATCCTACATTTTTTTTGTTTATAGCATAGTTTATACCAGGAGTATTCGCAAAAAATATACGTATTTTGAAAATGTTGAGCCGACTTAGTCTAGGAATCGACTAATTTTATGGAAGAAAACCTTTCAAACACCCGTAGTCAGTAAACTTCACACGTGTCGGGCTGTGATTGGCAAGGTCTCCTAAAACATCAATTTCATAAAAAACGGAACGTAACTACCGTGTTATGGGTGGGTCAACTGTATTTTTTAAAAATTAAAATAAGTGTAATCTAGGTACGCTATTCCGTCACAGTTGGTTGAATCATGTGTTGAGAGTTTAAGAGGAATAAATTAAATGTTGAGAATAACATGAGGTTGGCGTTAACAAAAACTCACCCGCGAATTTTAAGGCTGGTTAATAACATACAATTTCAACAATCGCATTAAATTATTAGACATAATTTAAAATAAAATTATACTAAAAAACTAATTTCGTTGTTTTTTTAATTACCTAATTAAAAATGTCTTTTTCAATAGTATCGGGGTCGCGGGTCACTTGGCTTTTATAAAAAGGGGTCGCCACCTGAAAAAGGTTGGGAACCGTTGCATTAGAGTATTATTTTCCAAAATGAATTTTTCATAGAAATATCTGTTTTTTAATTTAGTAATTAGATTGAGCTTATTGCGATTGGTGAAGGTCAGGAGAATTGAGTAGCCGCAGAATATAAATAGAAATGAAGTTTTGATTATTTTAGCATCCTTCTTAAATACTTCGTACCATCCAAGACACAAAGCATATTCGTTTAAACCTGGTAACGATTGCCATAAGAAAAGGGCAGAAAATTGCCATAATAGAAACTGAACACATTGAAGATAGAGTTTTTTTACTTTTTGATTTTTAAGAAAGTATATTCGCTGTTTACAGGGATAAATTCGGTACAGATCAAAACCGAATATAAGGGCTGTTGTCCAACAGGGTCTCAAGAAACAACTCATGCAAATTTCCTCTTGGATATTCGAATTCATTTTGCAGTAGTGGCTTAAACTATGAAACAATGCGATACGTACTCCTAACTGTAGGTTACGTAAGAATAATTCTGATCACCCATAATTTTATCTGCGTATAAAGTTGCTTTAAGAAGAATGAAATTAAATTCTGTCATGCCTTATAAGCCGATGTTTATCACGAACGCATTCCTAGTTAATGGATTTTACCAATGGTACTGCAGTTACGTGGTCGGTATAGTAAACAAGTAAATGCATTTTATGCATTTTAAAATGCATAAAGTCATATTTTATAATTCTATCATTTTATAATACAATATAAAATACGCATGCATTTTAAATGCATTGGGTACGCATTAATTTGTTTACTGTGCCAAAGAATTTAAAGATGTTTAATGAAATTGTGATTTTTCAATAAGAATAAAGACGAAATCTGACCAAAATCTTATGAGCAGATTTCGTCTTCATTCTTATTGAAAAATAATTCTCCCTCAGACGAAAGTTTACTGATGAAATTGTGATTCATTTCTTTTTAAAAGAGAATAAGGCGATTTTTCGTAGATAATAAGTGCATCTCCCCTGTACAACAATTAGATAACATACCCAGCTAAAACTCATAGGACAATTCAAAATATAAATATAAACGCGTAAGTAAACATTAAAACCATTAATTATAATAAAGTATTTTTTACAAATGCTTTAAATTTGTGAAGATTTAGATAAAACTTGTCCTCGAGATTTTCAATTGCTTTATTATGGCGATACGAAAATGATTGGCTTGTACACTGAAACGGCAAAAAGTCGTGTTAATGCAGGTGTTTTGTCTTGTTGTCGGAACTACACCTTCGAATGGCCAGTGTCCATCAATTGGCACAAGAATACGCCGAAGCCGCAGCCAGAGAACGTCAAAAAATGCATCGCCGAACTCATAAAATTCCTACATATCAGGTGGGCGATCGATTCTTCCTTAACGAGGTTGTTCTATCTCAAGGGGTAAAAAGAAAATTAGCACTCCGATGGTCCGGCCCATTTCGTATCATATCCAAATTAAGATTTGTCACGTTCCTTATCGAGAATACTCAAACGAAGAAACAACTCCAAGTTCACGCTAATAGATTGAAACATTGCACCGCTAGACAAGCAATCGAAAGGTCAGAAAGTTTAAACCGATCTTCTACGCCAACATCCACACAACCTAAGATATTATTCCGCCAACCTTCCCTAAGTGCCGACCCATGGGACGAATTTATCCTCACCGAGATTCAACCACAACCAGAAACGGACTTAGAATCACAGGAGGACTATTCCAAAGGTAAAGAAAGGATAATAGAATCTACCCCTAGAGAAGAACCGAGAGAACTGACTTCCTCTCATTCTTATGCATTACGCAGCCGGGGACCGGTGGAAGGACGTTCCTGGATTCTCCCGCCACCTAGGCGAAGTCGAATCCCCAAACGAAAGGCTAGCCCGCCAAAAGAAAAAAATAGCGTTCAACCAAAATTAACAAGGCAGAGTTAATTAAGAGAACAGACAAAATTAATAAGGGACAGTAAAAAAATTTACTTTTGACTAATAACTAATCCTAATATTAAATTCCGGATAAGCTTAATAGGATCGTAATCGATCTTCCTTCTTTTATCCAGAATCTAGCAGACAACGAACTCTCCCCAACCCTCTCAACCAACCCAACTCTCCTCACATTCATCGCGTAGCCACACACACACAGAGAGAGAGAGAGAGTATATTATTGTGAGCTCGCTGATTTTTACGGGCTTTTTAAAAATCCAAGTTTTTTGTTAATTATCTTCGGAAAAAACCCGAAGGATTTGTACTAGATCGGATTTCACCGATTGTATAACAACTAGCCGAGGAAGTTTACAATTAAGTGTGAAGAATGCACCGTCATCGTCAACAAAAGTCAATCACGTGACAGTTTTCCCACGCTAATGATATAAAAGCTCGAATCTCCGGAAGCTCAGGGCGATTCGTCATTGGAAGTTAAACTTTGTGATAGTGCCCACCTCGACTCCCGAACTTCCATACAGCGGACTTGATCCAGCTACAGAGAGAGGACATCGGATAGAAGACACGGAAGACACCACACTTTTCCATATAGACGAAGTTCGCCAAACTCACCCTTCCATCGAGAGGTATTTAGGGGTTAGAATTTGTAAAAGCGCTCTCTCGCGAACTAGAAATTAGGTCAGCGACATAGCTACGAAATTCGTCATCAATTTCTGTAAATATTTTAATATAACCGCATTTAACCTTAGTAGTAAGTTCACCTCTTGTAGAGTTAGATTTAGTTATTCAATAAATGCTTTGTTATTTTGTTAACCTGTCTCCTGTCAATTAAGGACGCCTGCCGACTTACCGACGCACTCCCCACTCGATTTGCCCTCCTAGACATTCAACAGACCCCGAGATCGGGTTTTACCAGCCTGTGCAGAGTAAGTGGTCAATTGGGACTTAACCAGTGACCCACTGCTTATCTCACATTATAATTCCATAAAAACTATGTGTATCGCGAATAAAATATACTGTCGGAAATAATTAATTAGAATGATAACCATATCATAAATATAATCATATCAATGTCGGAAATACTTCCTGTTAGTATTATTCACTCAGAGAGAGAGAGAGACTTTCAAATATTATATGTGTTCACAAAACGGGTCTTTATCATTTTCTTAAGCCTGATTTCATCGGATATCTCAAGAACCTCGAGGAAATCCCCTTATCCGTTACCTACTCCATTGGACCTTCAACTCATTAAAATTGATCTTGCTCACTCAGAACAAGCTCTATTTTGCAAAGGCCGGGGTGATGTGAAGGACGAACCGACCTCCAATAAAGTGTTACTTTAACTTTTAATTAACTTCCATCGTTTTATCAAGTTAGGCTAAAAGCCATAAAAAAAAATTATTTCCCACGGAATTGGTTCCTGGTTGAGGAAAATCCAGCTAGTCAGTGATGTGTCACTCGGAACTTTCGATAAAGTGCCCACATTGGACGCCAGACTCTTAACAACCGCCTGACCTCATGGGAAAAACCCAAGAGGAATAACAAGGGAGAACGGAAAAAAACACCCGAGGTCAGTCGTCTTCCAAAGTCCCTCCACGAAAGTCGTCCTCAAGGATTAAAACCGTGAACCAGAGTCCAGAAGTAACACCGTGCCTCTTTAAGAATATCACCCCACTTCCGTGCCTCCACACCTCCGTGCTCCTGTTAACGGACAAGAACTTGAGCGAACCTTCCATCGGCGGTGTCATCTTAATACGGATCTTCAAATCCGAAGAGAGTTATTTATCAACCCGCGATTCGGTTGTAAACTCTCTCTCTCGAACGGACTGGTAATAATTAAGGGAATCGTTAGTCATGCTTGATATAGAGTATATCTGTATTTTCTTTTGTTATAAATAAAATTGTTATTTATTTGTTACTATGGAGTCTGAGTGAATCACTTCCTCGTCTCTCTCCTCACCTCTACTCCGAATCTAACCATTCACCCTCTACCTCTCGCGTGTCGTAAAGTCGCGATTTCCGAGTCCTGAGAGACTCGGTGGTGTCACATCCTGACGTGGTGTCAAAGAGACACCGACCCTACGGTCACATAGCTATATATATAATCGAGACGGATTGATAATAATAATAATAAGCTCAGAGCCCAAACGGTTAGAAGTTCAAAGTTGAAATTTGTTACACAGTTAGGGTACGTCACGAGAACGCACGCTAAGAAGGGATTTCGAAAAATCCCTTCTTAGCGTGCGTTCTCGTGACAAATTTCAACTTTGAACTTCTAACCGTTTGGGCTCTGAGCTTATTATTATTATTATCAATCCGTCTCGATTATATATATTCCTCTCCCCGTCTCCGCACGGGGAGAGGAACAGGATTAACGCTTCAACAATGGAAGGTGTTCAGTAACAAGTGTTAAGAAAAAGCAATGTGCAAAATTTACAGGCGCAGATGCGGTTTTCTGCGTTTTTGCGGGAAATCGAAAATATTTTTAGCCCATCTAAAAATTTTCTAATTAGTCTGGAAACAGGGGACCTAATTCATGCATTCTGTGAAAACGGGTAAGATTAAATGTAATGTAATAATCTTAATCTTTGCTATCGTTACTCTTTACCCGAGCAACTCCGAGCTTATCTGCTAATTCTATTATAAAACAGACTTTGCTTCCTTCTTCAAATAAATTTAAATTTAAAAGCTGAAAGTCCGAGGCCTTAAGCTTTTAAATTTGCTGTTTTCCACTAAGAAACTTAGCGGCCCTTATTCTAAATCTCGTAGCTCTTAGTTCGAGGTCGTTAACTATAACCTGTTGAACTTATGATCATATCGAACGCAAATTTATCGGAACCTCCGTCGGCCATTTCGCTAATTATTGAAAATAGTTATAACAATTTCAGTTTAAAATCGATTAAAATGTACTTCTATAAATCTCCGCTAATCTAAAATCTATAAAGTTATTGAAGATAATTGCTGTCAATTATATTTTAATTAATTAATTATAATTTTCACCCAGAAATTTCACTTTAAAGTCTGCAATTTCTTCTGTAAATTGTCATTTGAATAAATAAGAATAAAATGTTAAAAATCTCTCACCCGAAGGGATCAGCCAAGGGACGATACCCAGCAAAATCAAAATTAATTTTCGAAATATCCGAAATCGCACTCTTCAGAACAATAAGAGCAAACCAACAATCGGTCAATTGTCAAAGTTCATTTGTTACGTCTTTAATGAAGACGAAAGAAAATGCTAATGATTAATTTCTAATTTTTATTTTTACTTAACTTTGAGAATCTGACGCAAGTATAATAACGACTGAATTGTTATGATGAAAATTATAATGGGCTTGGTGGATTCGGGTTCGAATCTTTTCGGGAAACCTAGGCAATTTTCACGAACGGGATGTCAGGCCTTTTCCCATATTACCGAACTCACGATGAAAGTAAAATAATAGGTTTTCTTCGTGACCAGAGAACAGGAAATATTTTTGTTTTTTGCCTTTCTGCTGTGTGGGCACTATGATGGCCTTTTTAAATTAGTTCGTCCCTGCTCACAATGGAGGTGATCGAGTGTTGACTAACGCGTTTCGATGTATCTGGGACAGCACACTACCAAAAACTTCCTGGGATTTGTTAACTATCCCGAATTCGATCTCCGGTGTAAGGCGTGTTAAAAGTGGAAAAAAACAGAAGTTACTATTTTTTAAAATAAAGTATACATAACACAAAAAAGAGAGAAAACGAAACCGAAACATCACATAACTTTAGAACACCATTTCACCTATAAGTATATATAAAAATACAACAAAATAATGTTGACAGATTATAAGATCAAATTATATTATTTAACACCACTTTTTAATCTGACTACACGTTGTTCATCTATAAGAATCCAAACACCAGTTTCGTCTCAGTTGTTTCCTTATGAAATGATGTTTAATATATCAATATGTTTTGTTCTGTTATGCATCATTGTATTACCTGACAGTTTAATTGCACTCTGTAGATTTCTGTCGCTTGGCCTTTTTCACCTGTAATTTTCTGAAGTAATTACTGAAGCTTCTTTACAAGCTTCAGTAAGACTTGTCTATTCTGCTTCTGTCGTTGAAAGCTCAATTGTACGGTGTTTTCGGTACGTTTTCTAGGTTCGCTGGAATTTTTATGTATTTTTTTTTATAATTTTTGAATATGTTTATTATTGTTGTTGTAGTTATTATTTATTATTGTGATTATTATTGTATTGCCTCCTTTCAATAGTCTTATTATTTGGTGTTGAACTTGCACCATTACTTTATTTTATGTTGTAGGCCTAATTATTATTTATTGATTGTAATATCACGTCGTATGCCCTATTCTTCTTGTACTAAATAAATAAATAATAAATAAAAAGTTTTTTATAACAAAATCTCATAACAGATGGCGGCACACACAATTTCATTTTTTAATGTTAAATTAGTTCAATCGATGCTAACTCGCTTATTAAAATTCTTTAAAAATTTTTAAAATGTAGGTAAATTTATAAAACAGATTAATGAAATTACTAGAAAAATTGAAATAGATTAAAATTTGATTATCTTTTGTGCCAAACAATACTAAAAGAATTTCTATAGTTATTTTGCAAAAGAAAAAAAGTGAAATGACTACTAATACATTCCATTTATATTCTGTTTAATAATAAAGTATTAATTGATAACATATACAGTAAAATATTAAATTTACATAAACTGAAGCAAAGATAAAGATTGTATTTTAAAAAAAAAGCTGTTTTAACGTAGTTAATATGGTTGTCACCAGACGTCGCATCATCGCAGCCATTTAGTACGAAATAGCAGACGACTATTTCAGACGAGAAAAAAAGTCATTCGCGCATATGCAAATTTTATTATTATTATTTTTTTTATAGAGAGGAAGACGACATTTGAACTTTACAAACTACTGAAAATTATTAATTTTTCTAAATTAATTAATAGTATTTATTAAGTATTATAATTATTTACATTTTACTAATAAATATAGTAACTTTCGAATAATTTTTTCGTGTCAGTTTTTTTGCTTAATGTGTTTGTCTCTATTATAAACAAAAAAGAAAATTTGAAGCATATAATTAAATAAAGAAAATAATCGCGAGAAAAAAACTTTTTCTCCTCAAAATAAACATAAAAATTTTTTCAGCGAAACAACGAAAAATTCACTAGAAAAAATACTTTCTTTGATTTTCGATAAAGAAAACTCTAGACGAAAAAATAAATATAAGAAAATTTTATTTGATTTTATAATAATACATCAATATTACATTAATAGGTACAGAAATATTTAAAAATAAATAATTTATAAATAAATGATTCATAAACGAGACGGGAGATGGCACTGTAGACGTAGTCGCCATTAATGTCGGCTTACGCTTTTACTCGGAGAGATTTCGTCATTTGAGGAGATTCGAAATGGATTTCGATCGTTTCTTTCGAGGTTTTTTCAATATCCCTCGGAGACGCGAGGAAGAACAGTAAGCATTACCCATATTAACCTTTTAAATTCGAATAAATGTTTCCTTTTAAACCTGTCTGCGCGATATTTTACATAATTATGTGATAAACAATATTTGTAAGGTTTTACAAGAATTTTCCCTAAATCTTTAGGGAATTATTCGGACTGATGGGGGATAAAATGAGTTTAATGAAGAAGAGACATTTGATAATATATAATTTGTACGATAAATAAATTAATTTAAATTGCAAAATATAAAATAAAACATTTGTTTCAAAGAGAATTTTATGTATTATAAGACATTGGAGTTAACTAGAAGTTAAAGAATTCAATAATATGTGGGTATATACAGAGAATATAACTGGAAGAAATTTCCACTAGATAACAGTATATAGAGTATATTCAGCATTTAATATTCCTTTTTCATGATATTCTTCCATCAAAAACACACAATTAAACATTAGATTGATGGTACGAGGCAAAGCGCAAGTGGCTGATCTGCTGAGAGGAAAGTACTTTTCGGGAGGACTTTACGGGAAGCTGGCACCCATTTATGCGAAAAAAGCCAACTTGTCAGCGAGGCAAGAATGCACTGACGACTATTGGTATTCTGTGTTTTTTTTTTTTCTGCTAGGCCACAAGTAAACACACTAACTAATTACAATGGATGAAAACATTACATTTTTAAGTTGCGTTTATGTTTCTTTCTGTGTCGACAGTTTAATACAAAAGAGTGTTCGAATCACTGTACTTGATATTGTTTTTGTCGTCAAATACTGGGCCTGGTGACCAATAAAGTGGCTTTTAAAGTCACTTTATCGGGTAACCGTTGCCGTAAACGAACCGAAAGCAAATCATTGATGTAATAGCTTTCAAATGATCTGTCATTGGCTCTCTTACCCAGGCAAAGTGCCTACTGTGAAATACTTTATGTATTAAAATAGAGACTTTGGTAAAATAGACTTATAGCTACTTTTTTTGGTCTTGTTTTCATACAGTTTGGTAAGATTTTATCTCTGCTTGATGCTGTTGGCAATCTGCCAAGATTGTAGACAATTTCTATACGAGTAAAAGGAACAAAACAACCATAATGATCGTGAACTACAGGGACCACTTCGTGAGATAAGACCCACGGTGTTGAATCATTTCAAAAATTAATGAAAATTTGAAATAAAGAAAAAAAAGTAGAATAGTGTCCTAGTTTTCTGGCTTTTATGGCATGAAGAGAATTGCCAATTTATGAGGTTATTTTCTGGCATATATTTAGTACAAAAAGTCAATACTATGTTCTATCAAGCTGTATACTAAAGTTATATAATAATTTGATTATTAAATTGTTTTTTACAAACTGTTGAAAGAGACTTTGAAGGGAAAAAACAGTAGGACTAGTTATTAGGTACGTATTAGGGTTTCTCAAACGGGATCCCGTGATCCTGCCTGGTTTTTTAACCGAGGAAATTCTTCTCATCCCGGGAAATACCACAAATTTCTTAAAAGTTCACTTTTTTCTTATTTTGTGTTAAATTTGAGGAAATTTTGCAAATAGAAAGTATAATTAACCCATAAACTGTCCTAATACATTTGTACTTATTAATTTTAAGCCTGCTTATTAGTTTTTTTAAATTTTTGCATGTTATGACATCTCACAGATTGCCAATAATCAATATGTATTTGTGGCAGGACTCTGAAAATTCTTTACTTGTCAGAACCTGTAATATCTGGAATAATTGTACCAATGCTGTCTTAATTTTAATTATGCCCAGTAGCTTCAATAACTGCATTATGTCAGATTGTGCAAATTGGACAAGGATAGAATTGAGTACAAAGTCTGCAAATATGAATGTTTTTTTCATAAAACTGATTATTAACATTAAACAAATTGCTGAATTATTTGGTTATAAGCTTGATATCACTTTTAAAGCAGCTGAGGTAGACAATTATAGGACATCGAATTATAGGACTCGAACTTGCATGCCACCTTCATATTTCTCAGCAATCTCTTTTTTCAGTTCCATTTTGATTCTAGTCACTTTTTAGTTTTCTATTGCTTTTCATTTGCCTTTTTGCAATTCATGATTAATAAAAATAATAAAATTTTACTTACAAATTAAAATCAGATGAAATTTAACAAAGTTATAAACCCACGATGGGCAAATGTGGCTCCGAGAGTCGCGTGCAGCTCTTTTTGAGTTACACGTGGCTCTTGCTGAAAGTGTTAATTTCTGCTTTTTATTATTTTTTTACAATTTTATTTCTACAATTTTGTGAAAATATGTTTATTAAAAAAATTCAATATTTGTTTTATATAATATTTATATTATATAATAAGATCGCAGTTCAGAACTGCATTACAGAATAAAAAAGTACAGAACTGCGGCTCCCATGCATTTTGCAAAACCTACATTTCGGCCCCCACTGACCTCTTTCTTGCCCACCCCTGTTATAAACCGTGGCACCGCGAACGTCTAGTCTGGTGTAGTACACCAATAGCGCTACTTGTTCATAGATGCCGCGTATAATTGAATTAATGTCGTATACCGAAAAAAGTCGATAATGTGCAACAGGTGCAGGAAGTGAAGCTTGACCTACAAGTAAATGCATAATTGGTGTCGTTCCAAGAACTTGTGAATCAATCAAATGGTTCCTGGCAATTACTTTTGACATCTGAATGCTTTAAAGGCGCTTGGAACATTATTTAATTCCAAAGTTTTGCTTTCTCGCTTTTGGAAAGAGCTAATTTAAATTTACCCCCGATGTTGAAACATTTGAAGGCGTTCACCAAATTCTTTCAAAAATTTGTTAAGTCTGTCCTATACTACTTTTGGCCACTACAGACTGCTTCTGGTTTTCGGTGATGAAGGTGGTAGTCCTGTGGATAAAATGATTTCAGGAAGAAGGCTACACTTTTTGATGAGAGAAGAAAAGAACTTTATCTCTTCAAGGAACCTGATTATCGATAAATTTCTGATTGTTCATCATTTTTCTATTTTGTCGAATATTAAGATTGGTCGCCGGACAATTGGATACATTATTAACCATAAAGAAAACTGCTTTAAAGAGGAATAAAAAAGTGATGCCCCTTTAAATCGCCAATCATCAACAACTGGAACATGTTATTTATTTGATTGGGCAAATTAACGCCAAATACGGTTGTGTAACGGATGCAACAATCAAACACCAATCTTCCTTGTTTGGAGAACAGACGGTTATCACACTTACAATGATGGCTGGTTGAATAGGCCACATGTCATAAAACTGCAAGCATTATAAAATGTTTCAAGGCTCATTATCGTGGTCATCGAGTGAAACATGTCACCGACTTCATTAACGATGAGAAGCCGATTAATCTTTATTCGAAGGATGTACTTTTTCATGATTAAGAAAGCATGGGACGAAGGTGATACTCAAAGTGATCTTACAATGGTCAGACCTACATTGGGTTAACCAAACAGAAGGACTTATTCATGTTTACGATAAAGCACTTCACGAAACATTACAACAGCTGAACACGAACACTTGTTCCGGTATCGAACACCCTATGCACGTAGAAGAATTTTAGGCCATCCACAACAATGCCGAATTACATGCAGACATGTCAACGAAAAACATTTTAATAATTGTGTAGCCTGACCTAAAGTCTCTTCAGAAGAGGATAACGAGGAATCAAACGACATAACCCAACTAGAAAAGAAGCCTAAGAGGAATTGTTTGAAAGTGCAAAAGTTCTTGGAAAAACATTGCGATGACGGTAGCGTAATATGTCATATCATTGCACTGGAGAACATGTTTAGAAAAATTGGAGAGAGGAAGAAATAACAGACTTCGTCACCCCATTAATTAAAGGTAAGACATTAAACACAAGTTATATTTTTATGAAACATTTCTGGTAATGCAGCAGACAATTCGAACCGAGAGTCCTGTCTTATATCTCTAGTAAGGTCGGATTTAATGACGATTTCCCTCGTTATTAGTATTTACAATTTTTTTATTTTTATAAAACCCATCCCTATTCTCAAAGTTACGTTTTTTAACATTTTATAATAATTAAAAATATAAAAAATTCTTAATAATAAAATATCGTAACAGATGGCGTTACACATGCAGTTTTAAATGATGAAGAGAAAGTTAAACTAGTTTGGCCTGAAATCGGGTTTGGCTGGTAATATATATAACTGGAATGCTTTGAAAGAAGAATACAAAGATTTGACTATTTACAGGCAATTTAAAATCGAGCTGCGAAAAAAATCGAGCTGTGATCGAGCGTGTATTTTTATTTTTATTATTTTTTTCTGTTCTTTTTTATTGTTTTGCTAATTATTTTTTTATATATATGTTTGTATTTTTTGTTTTTTTTAACCCTTGAAAAAGGCCAATGGACATAGGGTCGTTTGGTTAAATAAATAAATAATGAAATGTGGAGCTTCACTTGATGCACATTTCTTGAATGTACATACAAATTTTTCTTCAAAGTAAAAACTTTACAAGTCATACCACAAAGAGGTATCCAGGATTACGGTATATACCGGATGTTTGGTACTAGTAGTTACTATGGCTGTTACCCAGAAGCGCCGCTAGCTGTTTGAACGTCCGTGTGCAATACTGATTATGCCGCACCCTGTTTAACTATGACTACTTTCGCTGAGCTTGCCAGAAAGGCTCTTTAGTGTTGTCTTGTAAGTGTGAAATTCGAAGTTAATAACAGCATTTAAATCCTTTAAAACTTTAATAAATTTAAAATAAAAATGCCCTCAACCAAAAGAATTTGACCCTACAAAAACGAAATCTAAAGTACATGCGAAAATTATAACTCTTTTTGTTTTAATATAAACATTCTCACGATCAAACCGTACATAATTTACAGTTATCGGCGAAATTCGTCATATTGTTGTCATTCTAACACCACCTTTGACCCCACACCTGCTAAAACAATTGATCACATGACGAATTTTCCCACCAAAAGGGTATAAAAGCCGGCCTCCTTCCCCCTCTCAGGGGAGTCGCTCGCTGATTAAGGAGTCA